CCCCCCCCCAAAAAAAAAAATCAAAAAAATCCACGAAGCTTGTGAAACAATTATGTCTCCCACTTCAAACTCCTGCAGTCCTTTGAGCTCTGTGGTTGAGATTTACTTACTCCAGATTCAATTACCCCCCCCCCTCCTTTCTCTCCCACCTCCAACCCCACTCCCTTTTTTAACGGACCGAGCACTTGATGCAAACTGTGACGTCATAATTCGTCAACACGTTCCTATGGATGCAGCTTCACACCACTGTGGTGGTGACACCTCGTTTGTGGTGTTGACACCCCATTGTGGTGGTGACACCCCATTGTGGTGGTGACACCTCGTTGTGGTGGTGACGCCCCGTTGTGATGTGACACCCCGTTTGTGATGGTGACATCCCGCTATGGTGGTGACAACCCGTTTTGGTGTTGCCACCCCGTTGTGATGGTGACACCCCGTTGTGGTCGTGACACCCCGTTGCGGTGGTGACACTTCGTTGTGATGGTGACGTCGTTTATGAACAGCCCCCCCCCCAACCTCCCTACAGTTCCATAAAGAATGCTAAATTAATAATGCAAACCATTTGGTGACGCCCATGTGATACAAGGCTGACTCCCCACGGAATATGTTGTATGCTTGTAAATATGTTGTATTTACATACTGGTTAGGGCTGGGCTGCACTTTACGGTGAAAAGCTGCATTACAACAACAAAGAAATAAGAATTGTATTTAAACATCTTTCTATGACATGTAGTAACTGTCTTGATTGATTTATGATGTATTAAAGCAATGTACAAGCAAAATCAATGAGTTTTTTTTTCTTTTTTTCTTTTTTCTAATGACTTATGGACACAGGAACGATTTTTTATAAATGATATCTGCCAAGGGAATATTTTGGTGGGGCTGGGGGGGGGGGGGATTGTTTAGGTGTCGTTAGAAATGCGTAAAAATTATATATCTAACTATCCTTTTATTATTTTTTCAAGCCACATCTATATTCCCCTCTGCGGGTAGCCGACCCTTGAAATTTGTTTTGATCTACAGCCACTAGCACCCGCTGTCGTATCCCGAATTCCCAATAGAGCCTGTCCTCTACGCCGTGCTGTGGTACGTCATAAGCATTAACACATTCGTCTGCTAAATATTTGCTGCTGCTCTAGCGAGAAAGACCACCAACAAAACAAACAAACAAAAAACAATTAAAATTTTAAAAAAAGTTTAAATTCGTGCTGGACCATCTTTTTCAAAGGCCATCATGTCTGACTGGCTGGGCTTACAGCATACGGGACAGCATGCTAGATGGACAAGACTAGAAAGTTGAGATGATTAAACAGTCAAACAGTTCGATGGAGAAGTTTTTTTTTAAAAATTAATTTAGAATTTAGTGGTGATGATCTTTTAGGTTAAAGATTTTATCTGAAACACAGCATACAAATCAATGCCTATAAAAACGGTAGAGCATAAAACCGACCAGCAAAACCATACAACCGGCCAGCAAACATCATTTAACCGGCCAGCATCATCATATAACCGGCCAGCAACACCATATAACCGACCAGCATCACCATATAACCGGCAAGCAACATCATATAACCGGCCAGCAAAACCATATAACCGACCAGCAATATCATATAACCGACCAGCAACATCATATAACCTGCCAGCAACACCATATAACCGACCATCAACAAATCACCATATAAACGGCAAGCAACATCATATAACCGGCCAGCAAAACCATATAACCGACCAGCAACATCATATAACCGACCAGCAACATCATATAACCTGCCAGCAACACCATATAACCGACCATCAACACCATATAACCGGCCATCATCATCATATAACCGACCAGCAACACCATATAACCAACCAGCAACACCATATAACCGGTCAGCAACATCATATAACCGGCCAGCAACACCATATAACCGGTCAGCAACATCATATAACCGGCCAGCAACATCATATAACCGGCAAGCAACATCATATAACCGACAAGCAACATTATATAACCGGCCAGCAGCGTCATATAACCGGCAATCAACATCATATAACCGGCAAGCAACATCATATAACCGGTCAGCAACATCATATAACCGGCCAGCAACATCATATAACCGGCAAGCAACATCATATAACCGGCAAGCAACATCATATAACCGGTCAGCAACATCATATAACCGGCAAGCAACACCATATAACCGGCAAGCAACATCATATAACCGGCCAGCAACATTATATAACCGGCCATCATCATCATATAACCGACCAGCAACACCATATAACCGACCAACAACACCATATAACCGACCAACAACATCTTAT